ATTAATAAACCAATCCCATTTCGATTGTCCTTTAATTGGAAAAACTCCCCTGCGCCCCGCGGGTGCGGAAAAAGGAGGTGTGGCAATAGCTATAATATATTTGTTTGATTAATGAAAGTTGCATCTCTCTTTGTGTACGTCCAACAGATTCTCAAAAATAGAACATTTTTAGTTTAAATATTCAAATAATTGGCTTTGATTTATTAAAGAATGAAATTCATTTTACAGAAAATCTTGGACTACTACTTTCATTAAATATTTTTCCATTTATAATCCAATTTTTTTTTGTCTTAAAATTGCCAAGTGACTTTATTTTAGCTTGCCACTTGGCTTAACCATATTGGAAACTACTCTCCTTTTAATATAATATAGATATTCAAATAATTGGCTTTGATTTATTAAAGAATGAAATTCATATTACAGAAAATTTTGGACTACTACTTTCATTAAATATTTTTCCATTTATAATCCAAATTTATTTTATTGTCTTAAATTTGTCAAGTAGCTTCATTTTAGCTTGCCACCTGGCTTAACCACATTACAAACTACGGTGTTATTAATATAATATATAGATATAGATTCATGCTTCTGCCCCTTCGCTAAAATTCAAAGCCCGATTTTTTTTTTTTTTTGGTTAAAGTTAGAGATAGCAAATTTACTCGAATTCAGCAAAGTTATACGCAACAAAGTTTTCTTCTTGATAGATCCATCTGCGCCATCCCAATGTATCAAGTATTGGACAAAAGCTTCCCGAGTTTTTCCCATGTCAAACATGGGGTAATCAGCAATCACAAATTCACAAAAATCATCCTCGTCGGAATCGGGTCGTACAGATTGCTCAATTTCTGAATCCATTAAAGACCTAACTGAATCTTTCCATATATACAGAGTATATCCTGATATAGAATCAATCATCAATCTCCTTATCAAATTGTACATCATCCGAGTACAGAGAATACAAAGGTTTATCGGCGGAAGCATTTCCATAGGAGCTGTTTACAGGTGTTTAAGTGTTCTGGTTTGAAGGCTATTTTAGTCCAAATATACATTTATCTTACAAATTCGGGGACAAAATTTCCCGAGAAAGAAGGCAAGTCGTCAAAAGCCCAACCCAAAAATTTCCAGATCTTCACCGTCGCCACTCTCCTCCCCTCTCCGCCGATTCCCTTCTCATTTCTTAGTCGCCGATCATCAACCTCCATGAACCGCCACCATCGCCATAGCTTCTAACTTCATCAATGGCGTTGAGATCAACTGGACGCAAGGTCTCATTTGACGTTCTCTCAACTTCCATCCTAGACGACGATCAGGATTACGATTCCTCCACCGCGACTCTCCCTCGATCCAATTCCGATCCTCCTCCGCAGCTTCTGCCTAATGATGACGCCACAAGCCCAACCGGAAACCGCAAGAGGAAGAAGAAAAAGAAGAAGCACAAGAGAATCGCCGAGCATTCCACAATTTCCGAATATTCCGTCACGGACGAGCAGCTAGGCCGCTCATCCTCCGTCGGGGAATTTAGCGGTTACTGTTACAGTGTTGCTCAGAGCAGCAGTGTTGTGGTATGTGAGGAACCTGTTACACTGCCGAAGCCTGAGAGTAATTGTTCAGTGAGTTCAGTTTCTGGGCTTCCGTTTGGGGAGTTGAGGCAAAGAAATGTTATGGTCAATGGAGTGACCGAAGAGAGCGTCGGATCACCACAGATTAGTGAGAGACAAAATGAGAGTGTTGTTAAGGAATTGGAATCGAGGTCAAATTCGAGAGTCGAAGTGAATGTGAATATGAATGGGGTTGCAGGGAGGAGTTTGGAGAAGGAAGCGTCTTTAGATTGGAAGAAGTTGATGGCTGAAGATCCCAATCGTAAGCATGTACCTTTTTTGTTTTTCTTTAATGGTTTTCTAAATGTTTTTCATTTCCTGCCAATGTTTCCTAACTGTGTTCCGACTCTAATAGGAACATATTATGGCAACTGGAGGAACGTGTAGAGAAAAGATTTGATGATTAATACTTGAATAGAGAAATTCTAGTTCTAGAGAGAAGCTTGTATGAGGCTTCCTTAATCATCATATCTTTTCGCATGTTGAGAAACTACGTCATTGTACTTTAAACATGAAGTTAGCTAAATATATGACAAATAAATTCACTTGGGGGAGGGAGGAGGGGTTGGGGTGGTTGCCTAGTAACAAATATGTCTTACTTGCTCTTACCTCCATGCCCGTTTTCGTTTCTTTCTTTTTTGAGAATTCCTGCCATGCTGCCTCTGCTCTCGTTCGGGCCCTGAATCCCTTGCTTTTGGCTAAGGTCTTTAATTACCCTTTCTCATTAACCCCCACCCACCTTCCAAAACTACAAATTAACAAACACTACTGGAATAGCGCGGCAGCTATACCATAACAGATATAGTACTTACCGGAAAGAGAAAGCGAGACTGACCTACCCAAGAGAGAGAATGCAAGAGTGACTCCCCCGATCACTTAAAGGCCGCAAGAAAACAATTTTCCACGGCCTTATTTACCAAGCTCGGGACTAGAGGAGCATTTTAGGAATTTGAGGTATCACTTGTAATGTAATAAGGATGTCTCATTCATATAGTAATGTCCCTAGCTTTCGCCCTATTTTAGAGGCAGGTTTGGAACCCTGTATCTCTAAATTCAAATTTACTTCTAATTTATTTCAGTTGCAGAAGAAAACTTCACATGTATCCTTTCTCTTACTTTAGTTGTGTGGTATTTTGTTAGAAACATTTCCGGTGGATAAGTCACCAATGAAGTGCTTCATGGAAGAGATGTATGCGGGTAATTCCTTAAGGAGTACAGTTGCCCGCGGGGATGATAAAGAGCGGCAAAGAGTTTATGATACCATATTTCGCTTACCATGGCGATGTGAGCTGGTATTATACTCTATTAAGACACTGCACTATGAAGCATTCTCAAATTATATTTTGAATCCATTATTCTTTCATTGCCCTCAGTTTCCTGGTGTTCACTTCTTGACTTGCATCTTTTGTTCCTCTGTTATATATCTGCCCTGGACTGTGATAGTGCCAATAGGGGTCCTTTTTTTCTTCTCTTTTTTTAAAACTTTTTACTTCCCAATTTTATTCGGAACGAGCTGCAGACTAGGAGGTCCACTACCTGTTCTTCTCGGATATAGTCTTTATCTCATAAACTATCAAGCTGGTTTTGCTGAATGGATGACAAAACTATTGCTTTTGCAGCTTATTAATGTTGGCTTTTTTGTCTGCTTTGATTCATTCCTGTCACTGCTAACTGTCATGCCAACGAGAATAATCATGATCTGCTGGAGGTTTCTGAAAACAAGGTTGGTATTTCATACTTCACTCTTCCTTTGTTCTTTGAACTTGAAATGATTTTTTGGGATCTCCACTCTCCAGGAGAGTTGTGTCTATCATCTGTCCTAATATTATTCATCATACCATTGTGACCTTACAGCAGATGTGATGCAGAATTTTTTCTGTAATCTCAAATTAACCCTTTAATCAAACAGTTCATCTAAGATTTTGTCTAGAAGTAATATAAGATTTCCTTGCTATCCCAATCCATGTTGATTTTTTAGGTTTGATTTAATTTGTTATGAATTTTCATAATTATGCATAGATCAGGGATGTAATCTTGCATAGAATCAGTATTTTACCAAAAACTAAACCATATGTAATCACTTTATATCTCAAACCGAACTCGAGGGAATAGGTAGGTTTTTCTTTCATTACTCATTCTTTTCTTCTTAATGACTTATCTCTATTCATAGAGGCTGATAATTTTTGGTGGTTTTGAAACCTATGGGAACAGTGTATTTGTGCAATGAGCTTTTAATTCCTAGATTGTCATTGAATTTCTTTTGGTAGGAACTTGCAGCTGCCATATGGTATGCGTTGCTAAAATATCAACTTGAAGGAGATGAGGGATAGTTGTTGGAGGGTGTATTGATATAAGATTTTTCCTTTTTGCGTTTTTGGGAGTTTATTACTGATTGGGTATACCTTCATGTCTAGTGTTCTGTTCGGGTTTATTTGTGATTGGGCATATCTTCATGCTAGAGATCGAACATTGCAACAATTCTAACATTATTTATTAACAGAAATGAGGTATGATTATTAATAAAATTAAAAAGAAAACTTTATTACAAATTCTGCCGTGAAAAAATCCACCGTGTTTCAGCTTGCTTCCTTTGTTACTTCAGTCCCTGGAAAATAAAATAATTTTAAAGACAATAAAAGGGAAATTAAAGTTTCTTTTTGTAGAAAATGGTGTTCAGTTGGTGCCCCAGAGGTAATATATTCTCCAAGACTGTTCTCCAGTTGCACTTGGAGAAGTTTCTGTTGCTGCCAAGTAATAGGTCCCTGGTTAAGTGAATTTGCAGAGCGGAACTTACAGGAGGACCATCAGTTGAAACAAGGGTAATGCTCTTAAGTACCTAAGAGGTTGGAAGTCTAGGGATACAGCTAAGATCACTCAATGGCCGGAATTGGCAAAGTTTCCAGCTACGGTGGTTGACAATGTCATCAAAATCAATGCAGACACAGATGAACGGAGCCAGCAATTTCTTTCTCGGTGTTTAGTTGGGAACTTCAACGATTCTTTCAACTATAGCCCAAATCAAGAAGTGATTAAGACTTGGTTCACGAGCAGGTGGAAGATTTGTTCTGGTCTGAGAGTTACTCCTATAGCTCACAACCAGTTTTTGTTCGAGTTTCCTTCGAGACAAGAAGCAATGAGAATCCATGCTGGAGAATGGTTTTGGAATGGTCTGCGCTTATCTTTAGAATGGTGGACATCAGTGTCAGGCACCAATTTAGCCTCCCCGAGATCAGATTACAAATGGGTAAAAGCATTTGGTATTCCAGTCCATGCGTGGTCTCTAGACACCTTCAAGATTATTGGCGACTTATGTGGTGGTTTTGTTGGAATCGATGAAGATACGAAGAACCAAAATCACTACATTTGGGCGAGAATCTGTGTTAATGCCAAAGAATTTAATTGTCCAGACAAAATTGATCTTGATGTGGAAGAATGGAGATTTGAAATCTCGATTCTTAAAGATGTTGTTGCAACGCCAAAGCCAATCCCTACCCGAGCCCAACAAGTAGCAGAGAAAGCCACCGGAGAAGAAAGGTGCAAGTGTACGTCAAACACTGCAACAACAAGTTTTTCGGGGACTGAGCTGAAAATTAGGGCTCAGCTGAAGCACGTGATGGGGCAGAGTGTGGCAGAGAACTTTAATTCAAATTTACTAGGGCCCACCCCAAATGGAAAGCACAAGGTGGGTCAACTGGAAGAGCAATGTTTAAACTCAGAGCTACAAGGGCCCACTCAAAAATTCTTGCTTACACGGGCTAATACTAAAATTCCCATGGGCCGACCCAGTGTAGCAAGGTGCTCAGGAAGTAAAGACCCAATTTCTTTGGGCCTAAGTGCAGCAGAAACATATTATTCAGCAGGCCCAGGGAGGAGGGCCCAGTCTAAATCCAAATTTAAGAAGCCACCACATGTTCAAGAATGGAGAGCCATTCGTCTGCTGCCAAACCCCGTCTCCAACTTCAAAGCTTTGAATCTCCAAACATCAGCAACACTCCCCCAGCAGTCAAGTCCCTAGAGACTTACAACAAAGACTTCATTACTGGGCAAACTCTGCATGCAACCACCATCTCTAAAGAAGATGATGCAGACGACGAAGTAGATAACACTGCAAACAATCTTTGGTGTCTCTTGAACCGATTGGCTTGGTTAGAAACTGCTTCAACTGCACTGGTATGTTCTGATACTGATACCTCATTATCTTTTCACTGCTACGAGCCGGAACAACTGCAACCACAAGGAATTCAGCAGCCCAATGTCATTGAAAAATCTAAATGGACAAAACTAGTTATGGGTAAAGCATGCAAAGCTTTTGGCATCAACGTAGTCGGATTTGAGCATGAAATCTTCGATTTAATTATGAGGATGGATCAGAAGAGACAAATTCAGATTCAAAAAAAGGGGTCACTGGCAGCAACAAACAAGAAGAGAAAGAAGAAAGGGGAAGGTGAGGTTCAAAAGTTAATTAGCAGCATTAACTATGATGGGGGAAGCAACAGAGGCAGGGGCAGGCACTTCAAGAGCCAGTCAAGATGAAAGTAAAAATCCTAAGCTGGAACATTAATGGTCTCAATGGTAGGAAAAAAAGGAGCACTCTAATGGAAGGCCGACATTTTGTGTCTTCAGGAAACCAAAATGGAGGTAATTCCTAAAAGCTTGTTACATCAAATTTGGGGGAGCAGACGGGCTGATTGGGTAGAACTAAAGGCCTGTGGCACCAATGAGGGTATTATTATTATTTGGGATAAGAGAATGTGGAATTACATTGACTCTCATCAAGGAAATTACACAATCACCTGTATGCTTGAAAGTTTACAAGAGGATTTCAGATGGCGCTTTATTGGATTATATGGTCCACATACAAATTCTGAGGGGGAAGAACTATGGCAGGAGCTGGGAGCAATCAGAGGTATTTGGAGTGAGCAATGGGTTATAGGTGGGGATTTCAATGTATGCAGGTTTCGAGAACGAGAGACTCAATTGCACTAAGAGATCCAAAGCAATGAAAAGCTTCTCAGAAACAATTATGGATCTGCAACTGATTGATTTGCCTCTTCATGGAGCACAATATACATGGTCAAGGGGGGAAGACACTCTACAGACATCTAGGATTGACAGATTCCTTATTTCTATAGAGTGGGATGAAAGCTTTAAAGCAATTAAACAGCTGGTGTTGCCTATACCTATTTCTGATCATAAACCATTACTGTTGGAATGTGGAGAATGGGAGGCAACCCACTCCTACTTCAAGTTTGAGAATATGTGGTTGCAACAAGAGGGGTTCATTGATATGGTGAAAGGGTGGTGGCAGAATTATACTATAGGTGGTAACCCTGATTTTATTCTCATTCAGAAGTTGAGAAACTTGAAAAAAGACATCTCCAACTGGAATAAAGAAGTTTATGGCAAGCTGGAAGTAAGAAGAAGCAAGGCTCTTGAGGAACTTGCAGCTTTAGAACATGCTATAGAAGGCAGAATTCCAATGCAGGCTGAAAAGCAGAAGATTTTGAGTTTGCAAGTGGAGCTGGAGGAACTGGCCAAAGCTGAAGAAACATCATGGAGACAAAAGTCAAGATGTCAATGGTTGAAAGAGGGGGACAGGAACACCAAATATTTCCATTCCATAGCCAACTCACATAGAAGAGTCAACAATATTGACAAGCTCAAAGTGAATGATGAAATAACAGAAGACAAAACACAGATTAAGGAGGAGATCTTGAACTTCTACCAGAATTTGTATACAGAAAACGAAGTGAGGAGACCTACTGCCAATTTTGATGAAGTAGCTAGACTAGCAGAAGAGGACAGGGAGTTGTTAGAGAAAGCTTTTGACGAAGAAGAAGTGCATGAAACTATTAATTCCTGTTCCTCAGATAAGGCTCTAGGACCAGATGGTTTCACTATGGCTTTCTTTCAAAGAACATGGGAGTTTATCAAGCCAGAAGTGATGGGGCACTCAATCACTTTCATCAACAATGCTATATGGTGAGTTCATGTAATGCCTCTTTTATTGCCTTGATTCCAAAAAAGAAAGTGGCTATTGAACTTGGAGACTTCAGACCAATAAGGCTCTAGATTGGAGGCTTAAATCGGGGGGGGGGGGGGGGGGGGGGGGGCTGGCATTATATGCAAACTCGATATTGAAAAAGCTTTTAACAAGCTGAATTGGTCATATCTAATTTCTATTCTAAGGAAGATGGGATTTGGAGCCAAATGGATAAGGTGGATCAGATTCTGCATCACAACAGTCAAATATTCAGTGTTGGTCAACAGAGAACCTGTGGGTTTCTTCTCATCGCAGAAAAAGGGATCAGGCAGGGAGACCCACTCTCCCCATTTCTATTTATACTTGCCATGGAAGGTTTAAGCAAAATGCTTGAAAAGGCTAGAGAACTACAATGGATTCAGGGCTTCAGAGTAGGGGCATACATTGGGAGTTCAGTCTCTGTTTCTCATCTGCTGCATGCAGATGATACTCTAAACTTTTGTGAGGCTGAAAAGTCACAACTTATATACCTAAACCTGGCTTTCCTCCTATTCGAAGCTCTTTCTGGGCTACATGTCAATGCGCTGAAAAGTATCATTTATCCTGTCAACCATGTACCTAACATTGAGGAATTAGCAGGTATCATGGGTTGCAGTATTGGGTCCTTGCCTACCACATACTTGGGCCTTCCACTGGGTGCCAAATTCAAAACTTGTGAGATATGGAGTGGGATTATTGAAAAGTTTGAAAAGAGGTTAGCATCATGGCAATTGCAATACCTCTCCATGGGAGTAAGACTAGCTCTTATCAACAGTGTGCTTGACAACATTCCAACTTATTACATGCCACTATTTACTATCCCTAAAAAGGTGTTAAAACAATTAGATAAAATCAGGAGGGACTTTCTATGGGAGGGGAACAACAACACTCACAGGTTTCATCTCATTAAGTGGGATAAAGTCACACAACCAAAACACTAGGGAGGATTGAGATCTAGAGGTCCACAACAAGTGTTTACTAATGAAATGGCTTTGAAGATATGGCATAGGGGAATCAAGTCTCTGGAAGGAGGTGATTATTGCAAAGCATAGGAAAAGAGACAATTGGAGCACCAAAATTCCTAATGCACCTTATGGAGTGGGCCCTTGGAAGTACATCAGGAAACCTGGGAATGAATTTTTCCAGGAATCCTACTTCAAAGCAGGCAATGGAGCACATATCAGATTCTGGAAAGACAAATGGCTCAACAACATTCCAGATTGCATTGGACAAAGACTCCTCCATAGCTCAGAACAGAAGTGGCAATAATTGGGATGCTCATCTCAGAAGAGCAGTGCAAGATTGGGAAGTGGACAACATGATAGAATTACTTGCCAGAGTGGAAAGGTTCAACATGAATGCAAGTACACTAGACACCATTTGTTGGGGGAGTTAAGGGCACTTTCTCAGTGAAAGAATATTACAGGAAACTATGTTCTCAAAACCTAGTGATCGATGCATGGCCATGGAAATTAATATGGAAAACTAAGCTGCCTATTAAAGTAATTTGCTTTGATTGGATTGTTCTCCGTGAAGCTTGCTTGACACAAGACAATCTCAACAGGAGAGGCCTTCAGCTGGTCAATAGATGTTATATGTGCAGGGAGAATGTGGAAATAGTCAGCCATTTGTTTTTGCATTGCCCATTGGCCACTGACCTTTGGAACATGTTTTATTGTATTTTTGGCCTCAAATGGGTTATGCCACAAAACATAAAACAGGCACACCTGAGCTGGAGTCGATGGAGAGTTTATAAGACCATCAAGAAGATCTGGTTGATGATCCCTGCAGTTTGTTTTTGGTGTTTGTGGAATGAGAGGAATAGTAGATGCTTTGATGGGATCTCAACTCCAAATCACTCTCTCAAAGCTAGATGCCTACTCAATCTTTTTTGTTGGACTAAGTTAGCTACTGTAACTAGTTCTGCTCATCTTTTGGACTTTGTTAGCTCTCTTGTCTTATATTGACATTCTGTAAAGGGACTAGTTTTTCTTTCGTTTTTGCACCTCAACTTTTGTAAATATGCATCTTCTTGATGCTTTTGTTAATATAACATCTTACTTCATCCAAAAAAAAAGAGGTTGGAAGTCTAGGGAGATATTTCCTTCAAACTTATTCTATTGTTTCCCTCTGAAGTAGGAGACTTCCCAATCAATTTTGTTTTTGGGAAGAAGAGAGACTCGTCTTGATTTTCCCTTAAAAACTTAAGAGTTTGTCCTTGCTTTTATTTTATTTGTCTTGCCCCTGTTATTGTTATTGGTTATGGTGAATCTAAAAAATTGATTCACCCTCCCATCTGAAGCACGTCTTTACTTTATTTCCTTAGGTCCTTTCCTTTCTCGACCCTTGATTTTGTTGTGTTAAAATAAATCTATTTAACTGCAGCTTATGTTTACAAAATAACCTGACCATGCTCATGGCAGGCAGTTCAAGAAACTTTCCGCAGTTGAGCTTTCTGATATTGGCTGTTGTGTTGCCCTGGCCAGTGGGGCGATTTTGCTGCAACAAACAGGTGCAGTAGGATTCTTTAATCCTCAACCAGAGTCTTAAATTTTTGCTACATACTAATTACCCCAACCACACATCTAAGCTTAGACTTCTCAATTCTTGGTTTCTTGTTTGTTTAGTCTTACTCCTATTTGCAATTTGCTGTGGCAGATATCAGCCTAATCTATCACATGATTCGTGGTCAAGGGACAATCAAGCTTTATGTAGTTTACAATGTGTTGGAGGTGAGAAGTAGACTACTTTATTATAATTAGGGCATGTGCTAAGATGCCACAAATTGGTTGTACTTTAAGTCGTCGTATCATGTTGAAGGTGGCTGGATTCTGATACAACGTAACTAATTCCATTGAATGTAATTCACGTTTGTGGTTCAAGTAAATAAATGAAATATGTCCCCATTCTTGCTGTTAAAGAATAGAATAACTTCGAAGGAGAAGCACCTCTAGTCATATGTTCGGATATGTTTCAGCTATCCTTCATCAAGTATCCTTTCATTCCAATCTTGTACAAGATATTGGTTTATTACACGTCCATGTTGCTGCCCTAACATCATTCAATATGCAATATTTTTTGGTTAACTCCTTTTTTTGCAATTTATAGAAAATTTAAGGCTATATTTGCCCTTCTCGGCAGGTTTTTGATAGACTATTCCAAAGCTTTAGTGGAGATGTGATGCAGACTCTCTTTAATACAGCAGAAGGGCTTGCAAATAGCTCAACGGAAAATATGCAATTGTGGATGAGAAGATTTATTATGGATGAAGTTGTAGCTGTGGCTTCATCAAATATCCTTTCCATTCCCGTATTCTGGTCAATATGATAAATTTCATTCCTAATATTGTCTGGTTTCCTTGACTCCCCATACTTCTTCATTCTTTCATCTTGCTAGCTCAAGCTATCACTTTGTCAACCTGTATAGTTGCCCACAACAATGCATTATTTGCTTTGCTTGTATCAAACAATTTTGCGGAAATAAAGAGCAATGTATTCAAACGGTACAGCAAGGATAACGTTCACAATCTAGTGTATTATGGTGAGTTATCTTCTAGCAGCATTTACCTGAAATTTTGAAGGTTCTATTGCCATGATTAAAGAATTATTTATGAATCTGCTGTTGGTAGCTGTTTTTTTTCTTTATTATCTTGTGTGAAGTGATTCCATCTGTTGCATGTTTTCATTGGCATGTTTGTAGTCCCTATAGGTTGCATCTCAATGCCAATCAGTCAGTCAATCAATTAATTTACCTTTTCTTAAAAATATCACCCAGTCAATTTAGTCTCAATTTCAGATGAAGTTACTAACTTCAGCATCTACTCTAACATATTGACATTATCAATATAATAACTAAAATTAAAATCACTAAAATATAATTACAAGATAAGTTCAATTGCAAATTTGATGTTCAGTTTCATTTATAAAAAATGAAGAAAAGATAACTCAATTTTCTATTAATCAACTATGAAATAGAAATTTTCTGTAGTTAAATCTAATCTTTAAGTGCTTTAGTAATTTTATTAAGAGAGTAGAAGAGAAGCAAATGCAAAAGCTCAAAAATCAGGAGTGGTAAAAGAAGGTGAGTTGCATATTAGAAGATTCATGGTCTGTAGAATAGAAAGAAGAGGTTTTCATAAAAAAAGAATAGAAAGAAGAGGTATGTCAAAAGATGCAGAGGAAGAGAAATAGAACTAGTAAAAGGAGGCGTTACATTGCAGAAAAAAGGTATAACAAAAAAAGAGGCGCCACGAACTGAACAATAAAAATGAATCTTTTGCTTACATTCTTATGTTTTTACCTATATTTGCATTAATTTCGAGAGATTGTAGTTTTTTGAGACTTCCTCACTATGATTTTAGGTATACCTCGTCTTTTTCTTGAACGTTCAACTCCATATTGACATTTACTGGATTCTATATTTAGAGGTCTACGTAAGATATAACCTTAACATTTTCTATCATTTTTTTTTTGTATATGTGCTATTTGAACATCTGTTGGCTGTCATTATTTCTAATCTTGTCTAATCTTATATGACTGGTTATCAATCTTAACATCCACATTTCTAGGATTCTCATGGTTATATTTAGTCTTAGAGACCTTACTTTTACTCCCCTTTCACATTGTTTGTTTCACTACCCTTCTAAAGGACTTGTATTTCACTTTGTTAGGGTTGCATCTTAAATGTGAATTAAAATAAAAATTTAACACACAAAACACAAATAAGGTGATTATTGTCGAGTCCTTTGTTGATCATTGTTTTCACTGACAGTGTGGGTGGTACATCCCAACATTCAGATAAATGGTCTTTTCAGATCTGCCCTGTTATATGCACAGAAAAGTGCTCATTGTACTCACGTGCAGAGTCAAATATATTATTTCTATTATCAAGTAGAAACGGTAGCAGAACCTACTTTACTAGAATGGTAGCAGTACCTATTTTGCCACTATTCTCAGATGGTGTCCATTAATTGTTAGTTTCAGTTTATGAATAACCAATCACACATCTTTTCCGACCTTCTCTCTCTAACTTGTGCAACATAAAAAAGGATTTCCTCTTCCCTTGACATACAGACATAGTGCTCTTGGCACCTCAGGAGAAGGAAGCTCAGGGCCAATTTTGGGATTGCCTGTCTGATGGATTTAGATTTTATTGATGGATGTGGTTTTCTTTTTCATCTGTTCCTCCTGTTTTTACCAGTTTCCATGTTCAGCCATCCATATATTAGTAGCTGACTAGTGACACTTTATTTGTTGTTTTATTTATCATTTCGTTTAAGCTTAATGGTGTTTGGAAATGCTCAATCCTATGGTACTGATTTTATTTTCATATTTGTGCTTGATTACAAAGTTTCTGTGCATTTAAACTTTAATTCCATTGGCTGTTGTCAGATTCAGTGGAGCGGTTCCATATTTCGGCATTTCTCTTATTTGTGTTGGCTCAAAACCTTCTGGAGGCAGATGGACCTTGGTTTGAAAGTTTTCTTTGTGTAAGGCCTGCTGCTGATGCTCCTTGTGCAATGAAGTGATCAACTTGCTGAATTGCTTTTGAACTGGCTCATATAAAGAAATTTTCTTTTTGAATCCTGCAGAATGCATTTGTCGTCTACGTAAGTGAGATGACAATTGATATAATCAAGCATTCATTCATCGCAAAATTTAACAATATCAAGCCGATTGCCTTTTCAGAGTTTCTTGAAGATCTCTGTAAGCAGGTATTTTTAATTCATGGGCTGCTGTTTGATTTTGCTTCTAGAGTCAAGCTCTTTAAGCTGGTGATTTGTCTGATAAGCTCGAATAATTTGTAGTTTTATACTGCTATATTGCTATCAAGCTCTTCATCCTACCAAGCCGTTGTGGCATCTTGTAATTTTTTCTTTCTGAAGATTCTGTTTTTCATGTTACTCTAATTGTCGACTTTTGACAGACACTGAATATTCAGACGGACAATATGAAGAATAACCTCACTTTCGTCCCTTTGGCACCTGCTTGTGTGGTAAGTTTTTTCTGATTTGTATAAAGCCGCCATCTTCTATCATTATAATTTCTGAATAAAATCATAGTCTCTTTATTTCAAAATACTATACTTCGTGGATATGGAACATAGGGGAAGCAGGATCTATTCCCTTGGACTTATGGGTTTCCTTCCGGAGCTTAAAATGCTCATTTATTCCTTACCGAGCAACCTCTTTTGCATGTCAGGTAATCCGGGTGCTGCGTCCTGTGTTTGCTGCTCATCTTCCCNCGTGCAGCGGGATGCATTCCTGTGGAAGTATTTATGCCAAATGATCAAATGGCATGTACTTCCATTTTTCATAGGGAGAAGGTCCATAAAAAAGAAAGTCACATTGATAGGGTATTTCAGTCCATATAAAGAGGAAGTCATATTGATAATTTATTTCAGTCCATATAAGGAGGAGGAAGTCATATTGATAATGTATTTCAGTCCATATAGAGAGGAAGTCATATTGAATAATGTATTTCAGGTGCCATATATTTTAGACCATTTCTCTATAGTAGGCTATTTCAGAACCTATCAAAAGGAATTTCAGAAGGTATTTTCCGAGTAAATGTTGTCTGAAATTCTCTGGACTTCCTAGGTGGATTCAGAAAAAGCCAATGCTACACAAAGGTAAACTATCTTTTTAGTTAATTTGAGTCTTTCTTACAATACGACTTAATTACATTTTGTTTTTTATGGTTTAGTTGAGCAAAGTTCAAGGCATTTGACATCACAAAGACCTCTTTTATCATTTTTTGACTTACATAATATCATTTTTGTATTAATATTTGTAAAAGAAATTTGCCTTCTTTCTTTATTTACCCATAAGTGAAATTGAAAAGCTAGCAACGCCTGAAATCAAGAAACTGATTAATTTTGAAAATAATTAATAATTCACTTTTATTAAGCTGAAAGAAATGAAGTGTATCAATTGTTTCCTTATTTCCTCCATTCTGGTAAAATGCAATAAAGGATTAAAATTTTAAATATATGATCATAATATTATATTAAACAGTTATAATAACGGCACAGGAAGTTTGTAAAATGTAACGTCAAGAAAAAAAAAAATAAGAAGGAAGAGGTCATATGTACCTTGAATACCACATAAGATGTCTCTTTGTTTGCTGGAGTGAAAAATTCTGCTTAACTACCATTCCTTCTTTTCAAGAAGGAATTTGAAGTAAAAGACAAAATGCATAGGACAATAGTGGCTTTGATGTTTAAATTATTGCTTTATTCTGGTTTTCGTCTTCGTGTTCATGAATTTGACTTTATTTGACCTTTAATTAAATCAAGAATGTGATTTTGGGTCCAATCAGTGATCAAAGAGAACATATGCTAACGTGTAACCAAGGCGATTCTTATGTTTTTGTTTTTTTTTCCCAGTAAGAGAGACACCCGCATTCGCTACAACCTTTGCCACAACCTCTACCCTTCGGGTGAGCACTTTATGCGCACTGGGTAAACCATTTTTGTTCCATTTTGAGAAGATGGTATTATCAACATCTCTTGTAACCAAGAGGATGTTGCCAAATTAAGCTGCTGGTGTCGCTTTGATGGTGATGACGACCTTTCTATAACAACATCCCTATATAACAACCATTCATTATAAAAGTTAAATTTTCCTCAAAACTCATTTTTAAGTTATGTTTTACCTCTATAACATTTTTTTAAAACCTATAACAGTAACAACCATATTTATAGCACAACGCTCTTTGTAAAATTACTTCTCTATAACAGCCATATAGAATCTTTAAGGGATCGTTTGGTATGAGGTATAAGAAGGTATAGTGCTGTATAAAAATTTAATACCACCTTAATACTTCGTTTGGTTAGCAAACTAGGTATAAGTTATCCCAAGATTAAAATTAACACCGGGATAACTTGTACCTTATAGAGGGTGGGGTAATTAGCATCAGTATAACTTATACATTCTTCTTACAAATTATGCAATTGTTATATTTAATACACCATACCAAACAATGGATAAAAAACAATCTCAGCACAAATAATCCCAGCATAACTTATCCCACCATAACTTATACCAGTATAACTTATTCCGGCATAAGCCGTATTCAAATCAAACGACCCATAAGATTATTAATAATAATTTAAAAAAATATGCACATAATCTTTTCCATTAAACAAAGTTTCTATCTTGCATAAGATATAAGATTTGGAAATTTGCATATGGTATCTTTTCCATTGGACATATTCCAAAAAATACTTAGATTTTTATTTCGGTTTTCTATTTGCATTACTTAGTGTTAGTTTTGTATTTTCATTTTCGTTGTCAGATTGGTTTGCTTGTTGTTGCTCCTTCCTTTTTTCCTCCTTGAGCCGAGGGTCTACCGGAAACAGTCTCTCTGCCTTAAAAGTCAGGGGTAAGGTCTGTGTACACTCTACCCTACCGACACCCCACTTGTGGGACTACACTAGGTTTTTTGTTGTTGTTGTAGATAAAAAAAATTTAGCTGTTAAGCTTTTGAATTGTTCTCAAGAAAAAACTACTGGATACCTTTTTGCTGAAAATTTGGACACGAATCTTCGCCGATTCAAGCGTTATATTACTAGTAAGAGAATGAAATCTATGAAACAAGCTACAATAACAAAGTTCTTTCATCAATCTTGAAAAAAAATATTTTTTCGGTAGTTTTAAAATGTCTGCCTTAGAGTTTAAATCTTTATACTTTTAGTTATGAATTTATTAATAATGTATTACCTTTCTTCAATATTTAACTAGTGAAATATGCATATCTTTTGAGATTTTAAATTTGCATAATTTTTTTATTTTTTATATGTAACATTAAAAAAGAAAAAATAATTAATTTTTGGATAATTTTTTTCTATAACAACAAAAAAATATTTAAATGTCAAATGCTATTAAAGGTGTATAACAATCCTTCGGTATAAAAGCAAAAAGATATGGGAACAAACGAGCCTGTTATAGAAATAGTTTAGTGTGTATGCTTAACCAAAAACAAACGTGTCAAATTGAATCATCCATTCTCAACTTTTTTCACACTTGCACTTTCCTCAATACTTGGAAGAGTGCTCATAGTTAAAGAGAGAGGGAGAAACAAAAAATGGAACAACTATATACTACCAAATAGTCAAATCTCTCAGAGTGTTTTAGATCAAAGTTTTCATCTGTAAAGTGTTGATCAAATATTGACTCCCCACCTCCTCCCTCTATAATGAATTTTGGTATGATCCTGTGAAAAGTGCCAACTTTGTAATGGAGTGGCTTCCCAGTTCTTTTATTCCCGATGCAAAGCGCCTCTGAAATTTCTGCTGTCTTTGGCACAATTTTCCCATCACAATACGCCCACTATGTTTTCCATTTCTAACAAGTATACTTTATAAGTCATGCGCTCCAAATCCTCTAATAATCTATGCATATTATGAATTGAAAGGTGAACAATTACACTAATCCAAAACGCTGTACTCCAGATCAAATCAAGCCAACAAAATGCTAATCTATAAACCCAATATTGAACCGATTTTAATGTCTTTATCTGATGAGACTCCCATATCACCTAATCGGCTCTAAGAATACAATAGAGGATTTAAGCTCAGTAAAGAAATGTCAGGAGAAAACAAAACAAGCCACAAAAAGAAGAATGACGAAACTACCACAATGAAAATTAGGGTTCCGAATAAAACCAGGAACCAGATAAGAAGGAATAGAGATAATTCGTTTCTTTTGGCCTTTTTCTTGTCCTCTACAGTCTTCATAGTGCTGCTGTGGAGTTGCCGAGTATCACCTGAAGTTTAAGAACATGGCCCTTAGCCCCCTCACTTTTAAAACAGGTACGCTTTTACTTTGTTTCTGATGATGTCCATCTCATTGAAGAAGTATTAGGCATGTGTCTAATAAAAGTTTCTTTGCTTTGGTAACTAACCTTGTTGACTTGGTTTGGTTAGGTAGCCAACCTTGTTGAATTAGTTTGGTTTGGTAGCCAACCTTGTTGAATTTCTTTGGTTTGGTAGCCAACTTTGTTGAATTGTGAAAAGTGTGTGTAAATTGTCAAATATTGTAGACTTTAGAGAGTGAAACTTTGGCTATAAAAGGAGAGCTTCAACTCTCATTTCTTCACACCAACAAAGAGAGAAAGAAAGAGTGAGGTTTCACAGACAGGGTATAAGAAAATAGTCTGTAAGAAAAATAGAGAGTGAACGATATTGTAGTGAGGTGGGAATATCAAAAGAGGGTTATTTATTTTGAGTGTTGTAGTGGTCTTTGGAGTATTTTACTCGGACCTACAAAGTGTAAAATTCCTTACTATAGTGAAATCATTTGCTCCTCTCGGGGCCGTGGTTTTTTCCCTTATTAAAAGGGATTTCCACGTAAAAATCTTGGTGTCGTTGTTACTCTTTTATTCTTGTTAATCACCGTATCTCGGTGCTACATTATTATTCCGTTTTTATTACCGTGAATATTATTTCTATGGGGGTTTATTCCCAACAATAACTGGTATCAGAGCACAGGTTCTGCTCGTTCACTGAAATACTATTCATTACCGGTAGTACTATACTCGGTGAAAAATAAAAATGTCCAGAGTAAAGTACGAGGTAGCAAAATTCAACGGAAATAACGGTTTCTCAACATGACAAAGAAGAATGAAGGATCTGTTCATCCAACAAGGATTACACAAGGTACTAGATGCTGATGCCAAAAAGCCTGATACC